ACCTATGATTACATTTCTAGCAGGGGAGATGATGCTATGGATAAAAGAAAATATAGATTAAGTTTAAAAGTATCAGGAGAACAGATTTTAGTACCAAATGAGACCTCAGTAAAGTGAAATTCAAGCAAATCACTGAAGAAGATTAGTTTTGGCCACATGGATTTCCAGGAGAAGGGCCTTTCCAGCAGAAGAAACAGCTGGAATAAAGCCCTATGGCGGGAGTGTATGGACATACATGGGAAACAAACAGGAAGGAGGCAAATGTGGCTGGAGTAGCATGAGTGAGCAAGAGATGTTGGAAAGGTGAAAAGAGAAGTAAAGCAGGGTCTGGATTGGGAAGGGCCTTTTAGATGATCTTAAGGATTTTGGCTCCTTCTGTTGATTTAAATGGAAGTCACTGCAGAGTTCTGAGCAGAGTGATGTGATCCAGTCTACATTTTATAGGGATGACCTGGCCAGGCGCAGTGGCTCACACTGTAATCCCAGTACTTTGGGTGGCTGAGGCAGGAGAATTGCCTGAGCCTTGTGATCAACCCAGGCAACATAGCAAGACCCCATGTCTCTGTATATAGTAATTTTTTTTTTTTTTTTTTTTTAAAAATGGGGTTTCACCATGGTGGCCAGGCTGATCTTGAATTCCTGACCTCGGGTGATCCACCCACCTCCACCTCCCAAAGTGCTAGGATTACAGGCGTGAGCCACCGCACCCGGCCAACATTTTTTTAAATGTTAAAACTAATAAATAAAAAGGATGACTCTGGAGGCTGTGCTGAGAATAACCTGGGCAGGGGGTGGGGGGTGAGGCAGCAGGGAGTGGGCAGATACGACAGAAGCAGGGAGCTCTTAGGAGGTGATGGTGACTCAGACTAGGGTAACAGCAGTGGAGATGTGGAAAGGGCTGGTTTCTGAATATATTTTGGAAAAGAGCCAACAAGTTTTGTTAATGGATTGGGGTCATGTTTGACAAGTAGAATTAAGGATGATTCTACAGCCGGGCGTAGTGGCTCACGCCTGTAATCCAAGCACTTTGGAGGCCAAGGCGGACGGATCACCTGAGGTCGGGAGTTCAAGACTAGCCTGACCAACATGGTGAAACCCCGTCTTAAAAAAAAAAAAAAAAAAAGGATAACTCCAATGTTTCTGGCCTGAGTTAACTAGAAAGATGGAATTGCCATCAACTGAGACTAAAACATAATCCAAATTTGACCACTTCCCTCCTCTACCCTAGACCAAGCCATCATCTCTTCTCCCCAGACCACTACACTGGCCTCCCAACTGGTCTGCCTGCTGTCATTCTCATTCTCTAGTCTATCCTTCACACCTACAGAGATAGTTCTAAAATATAAATCTGTTTGTTCAAAGTATACTTTTTTATAAAAGCATAAAAAAGTATAAAATCCAAATGCTTTACTGTAGTTTATAGGGCTCTGTACAGTATGGCCTCTTTTTTTTTTTTTTTTT